TGTCATACGCACACACACACAAATAACAGACACTAGCAAATAACAGCTCCCATCAAGGCTGAAGAGAGTCTGAGCTCCTTATTATCAGTTAAGTATACCAAAACATACTGCTAAAACATTCACTCGTTTGGGAGAAAAACAGATCACTGGTATTTACTCCCAAGGAAGGAAATATACTGGAAAGAATACATTTTAATACAACAATTAAAGTTTGATAGTAACGCTCAATATAGCTTGACCATATGTCCAACGAAGGATCATATGTGTCCACGCTGCCTTTAGGACCCTCTAACCTTTCTACTGATCCCAGAGAAAGAGACAAACGGCCTTGTGGGTTACGTGGCCTTCGTGTCCTGCGTGTACTACGTGCAATCTCAAAGTAAGATTGGGATGCACCTAAAAGAAACTGGTTACTTGCATCCATGCATTTAAGAAAATATAATTTCACAAGCACAAGAATATAAAAATTATTATGTGATAATGAATATATTTGATTATTGATTTTTATAAAGGAAGTATATAACCATTCAAAATGACATATGATTATATATGTATTTGAAGAGGCAAGGGATTTTGACCAACCCTTCAGAGCTATATCAAATGAAAGACTTCAAACATGTTCATATTTCGTCTGAACAGATGATTATTTATCACTGCTCACTTCAATATGTCTACTTTCTCTGTAGGCTTTTATAAACAATTGGTTAAGCACAAAGAGTGAATTCCAGTCTGATGTCATTGTTGATATGAACTCAAAGTATTTGGATCATATCCTGATTTTTTTTCTCCACTCCCCCTTGTGGATGTTTTTAAGCCCAGTGATCCTGCAGACCAGGAGGAGACCATCTCTCATCACCACTGCAGACAGCTGTGGTCCACACTGCTCAGTGCATACTGGTAAGTGTGATAGGGATTACAATAGATAAATGCATATATCGCTTTTTGAAGGATTCTTTAATAGAAATATTTAGTAAGTGATCATATGAAAGACTAAATTCGCATGTAGAATTTTTCTCTTGAAATGTAACAGGTAGACTAATCTAACTTTAGAATATGTCACATTTCTTTTTTTATGAATGATGCAAATTGTGTTTTATATCATATTATATTGTCTACTAAATCTATAAATCTTTTTGTTATGCAAATGAGCGTGTGTGCAAGGGTCGACTTATGTTACTTATATCCCAAAAATTCTAAAGTTAAGCATTGTCCTTAATTAAACTTTTTCCATGAGCCACATGTATAATTGTTCTTTTATACTGTAAAAATATTATCCAATTTGGGTAACGATGAGACGTTTAATGCAGCTTGTCCCATGTGGAGAGTTTTGAGTGCCAGGAATGCTAATGGAATTCTTATTGGGAACAAATTCCTTTAGAGACAGATAAGATCCTGCATACGGAAGAGGGAAAAAATACTGTTTTTCTGTCTATTTTGGTCAGAAATTTATTTCATCCAGTAGGAGATTATTTTATCCTTAAATGATTGTTATTTGCATTATAATATCATTAGGATATTTGAATATTGGTTATGATTAAATTAAATGACTTTTCTTTAAGTTTCTACAAATGTTTATTTATTGTTTAATTATAGTACACTGTAAAAATTTATATAATCAATAAGTTATGACTTTGTTAAACAAGATTCAACTCATTTTTTAAAAAGTCTTTTTAATGTAATAAAGTTGAAATGACTTAAACATCTAAGTTGATTAAACGTAAAATTTAAGGCAGCAATTTTTTTACAGTGTAGTTTTTTTCATTTGGAAACATTTCTAATTTTCCATCTGACTCATATGGTGTACAAGGTATCCACTGCATGCACATTATATCCTATGTTTTGTTTTTAACCTGAAAGCATCACAAGTAAAGTACCTTTGCAGAATGTTAGTGTCATTAGAAATCATTCTGCCATATAAGGACAAAGACTTTTGGATCTGGCACACCATATAATCAGTTATTGAAACACTTCAGCTGAACAGCCTCAGCCTCAACACACCTACTGTAATCCACTAGGTGGCGTTTATGTGTCTAAAACAACATTTGTAAGCAGCACACAGCTTTGGAGGTCCTAATTAGGAAATGTGTTACTCTGGAGAGTGTGTGACCCCATTCTGTCCACTGAGAGCGCAGTTGAGCCGCTACAGCTCTTCCTCGTCTCTCCAGTTGTGACTGGTTCCACTGTGAACATATATTAACCATATGAAGCCTATGTATGTGATGCATTTTCAGATTTCTAAGGCCTAGGATTTACATTACAAGCTATTATATTAGGCCTATAGCTTAGGGTTAGTAACAAGTATTCAGCATATTACTATTCTCTTGCTTATTACTCTTGAGACTTTTTTCAGTTTTTTTTAATCAATTCAACTTATCAATTCTCATTCTTATCCTTGATAACAGAGCATGATAAATTAAAAATGTTGGTCATGACTCTTAGAGTGCTTTCACATTTTGTTTAGACGTGCAGGTATGAACAGGTCATATTCTGGATAAAGTGTTTACATCGCACAGAATGATGATTAATGAGATGTAATGTATTTCAGCTGTCTTAAGACTGGAATACTACTTTTGTCGATTTAGTGGAGTCAAAGCAACTTGTCAGAGCCAGTTTTTGGCAGTTGGATTCATATTTTTCAGCTTCAGACTAGGATTTCTTCCAGGATATCAGAAATGTTATATTTAATATATATATATATATATATTGTGTAGTGTATTCCAACCTTTATTTAGATTTTAGGAAACCATGGCAGTCAGGTTTATGACACATAGCTAATCAGAATATGAAGATGAATCAGAATTTTTATGCTCAGTAAACATGGTCAAATTCTATGCCGGTTACAGGTCTGAGGTGGACTGTTTCACAACTCCTCATCACAGAGCCATGAATGTGGAAATCTCTGTCTATGTCAACATTCTCAATAACAATGGTTTCTTATATTATGGTAACTCAAGTGAGTGAAGTGGATGTCTTCTCCAGAACCGTAGGGTGAAGTGGAAAAAACATTGTGACCTGAAACAGGGTTTTGGCTTGGACTTGTCTGTCAATAGTTAAAAATTGCATGTATTAACATTCAAGAAGAGTTGAAAATCTTCCAATGATTTTTTACTAAGGACAGTGTACATGTTGTAGGTCAATGAGATGGAAAACACTGGTATGCTGACCTTCACATCGCTGACCGCACATGTTGTCATGTTCCCTAACTGTGTACGCTTGCACGGTCATCAGATGAGTCACTAGTCTGTTAATAGTATTTTGATAAATTGAGTGGATTTATCTTGGTAACTGAGAGGCTTTTAAGAAATATCCCTGGAAAATCTGAGAGCAGAGCTGCCCATTTAGGTTGCTTTTAATTCCTAATGGAATAGATTTGATAGATTACTGAATCCAAGTAAACTGAATAGAACAAGATCTCTGGTGGGAGATGAACTTAATTGCTTGCATGTTTAGGAAAACTGGTCCATTCACTTTTATGAGCCATAATAGTGCTGTTGTTTTCCAGTCTACCACAGACGTCCTATTGCACCTTGTTACCTCACATTCTTCAATGAATGGATCACAGTTGGTGCTTCAATCCAGACGACCAGAAGTTTTTACTGCAAATGTTTGTGCAACTATCTCTTTACATCGACACTGACCCATTCTTGGATCAATCACACGTACATCGACTAGTACCTTAACTAATACTATTCTTCAGACCGTAGGTCCTGCCAACAGTCTGCAGATTCCTGTGGCAGGCCTTCAGCTGTGATCTGCTCTAGCAGGGTTTAGATAAGAGATGAGAGGGGGTTGTGTTAGCGTATGATGCCAGGTTGTTTAAGCAGGGCTATTTCAGGCCTCCCACAAGGCAGGATCTTAGTAAAGGACAGGTCGATCTGTTTCCATTGTCAACTCTGACCACCAATGAGTCAGGTTTTTTTTTTTATCCAGACACACAAAAACACATTTTCTCTACTACACCATCATACATATTATAAAAGAAAGTGGTCCCACAAAAAAAGTGCAGATGCCACTTTTTTCACATCACATTTATAAATGTCTGGATGTAACATAAAACATCAAACCAAGTGGCATCGGAAAGAAAAACAACTATACTAGTCACTTTTCTCAAAGATTACTACTTTTAAGTGGAACAATGAAGTCTGTTATGTCAGTCATAAAAAAATTCTTCAGTTTGGTGTGGATAACTGGAAGATCAACACTGCACGACTTCTAAACATTGAGACGTTTGTGGATGAGTTCAGACTGCTTCGGACTTCAGTCCTTTCATGGAAATCATTCGATCTAGCCTTTAACTCTGCGAAATGAAGTGTCTGTAATCGTAAGTGTGTTTTTGTATTATGTCATACATATTAATGAGTTACTAGAGGAATGTTGGATGGATCCAAGTGAAGCATAGTTTTCTTCATACATCACAACCAGCAAACCCCAGAACTTTTAGAAATAAGTTGATAAATGAGACCAGAGCTCAGTTTTATTACAAATATGGTCTAGCTGAGATGGTCAAAAGTCCAAGTTTATTTTTGAGGGTCAAATTGAGAATCAAAGGTATCCGAGGACACTGACTCTTTCGTGTGATAGGGTCATCCAAAAAACCCTGAAACGCAGCATTTGAGAAGCAATGAATCTTTTAATGTCCACTTTTCCCAGTTTTGTTTAAAAAGACAAGCCAAATGCAGGAAGTTTACTTCACAATATAAGCACTAATAAATGAAGTTGTTGTTGAGCAAAAAAACAAAAACAAAACGCAAGATACACGCGATACACCAGAAGGTGTGAAAATGCCTTTATTCTGCTCACTGATGTCACAAGCAAGGAATTCAGATGAATTTGGTTCCCTCTCTCTGGCTCCCTCCCCTTCACTTATCTTTTGCAGCATAACCTAACATGGAGAGGGCAGCTGATGCTTTGTCTGGGATTACTTGGTTTGTGATTTGGGAGGACAGGCCATGGGTGTGGTGGGACACAGGGGGGGCAGGGTGTAGGCTTTAAGGGGCAGCTGGGGTCGTATATATGGCAAATACCTAAAAGAGAAGAGTGGAGTTCCCCTGTAACTCTTTGGCTGTTTGGGTCTCTCCATCCATCCTTCCATTTCCTCAAGGCTTTCCTGAATATCCCAAAGCAGACATGACTTTCCACAGGCACTCAGGTAAAGATGCAGTGTGTGATGTTCAGGCAGTGATGAAAAACTTTTGGTGGAACGGCCTGTGGATTCTCCTCATTGCTTTACTTATTATGGGACCTTTTGTTGCTGGATATGATTTATAGCTGAGCTCACGCAACTATTCAAAAGTTTAGGTTAAGTAAGAATTTTTTTAACATTGATAATAACAATAAATGTTTCTTAAGCAGCTAATCCGCATACTACAATGATTTCTGAAGGATCATGCGACACTGAAGACTGGAGTAAAATCACAGGAATAAATAACATTTTAAAATATAGTAAAACAGAAAATTTTAAATTGTAATAATATTTCTCAATATTAGAGTTTTACTTTATTTTTGATCAAATAAATGCACCCTTGGTGCGCATAAGAGACTTCATCAAGAACACATTAAAAAACCTTATCAACCATGTATATGTTTTGATCTGGCGGCATTGATTTTGCATGGCTTTTGGATAGTTTTCTGTAAAGTTTGCCTTTCCAGTATAGATCAATATTAATCTTAAGACCTGTGCAAATCAGATAATACTAGCTAGCCCAGTATAACCCAATGTATCAAAGGCAAGTATTTATTTATCTGTGTAGTTATGATGGTGAGCTCAGTGTACCTCTGTGTAAGTGAGCGTGATCTTACTCTAGTCTAGACCACTTTAGTCAAGATAGTGCTCAAGCTAATTCGCTGATTTAAGTTAACAGAGCGGCACAGAGATTCTTTACTTATTACTTTTTTTAGACTACATTTGTTAGTGTCAAATTTAGGTGCCTCAATCAATGTTTGCTTTAATGTGGACATGCTGTCTTTGGTTACTGTTGTCTGAATTTGATCTCGTGTTGACCTTTCAAAGCAGCATTTGCTCTTCGCTTTGGGACAAAGCGGTCCATTTGATAACACTCTGTCAGAGCTAGCTAAAAAGTAACAGCTGATGGACGGTATCCCAAAAGGCTTAGGGATTGAGCATACTGCTCAGGTCAGAAGGATGTTTCAGTTCACAGAAGCCACCACAACACTACTGTATACGTCTGAGGGGAGAATTCAGGAAAAGGACACTACTTAAAAGACTTAGACCCTGGATATATTTGGTTCTGGATTTTTCACAAATTTGGTCAATTTTATTGGAAGTTTCACCTAGATTATTTTATCTCCATGGTACAATAAAAACAAATTATTTAATTTAATGAACGTAACCATAGACACAGCTATTTGCTTAAAAGCTAACAATTTGATGTTGAGAGAGACAAACTGGGAAGAATTAGTCAGAACTTCTAAAAATACTTGTTTTACTTGTCCAGTAAATGCAGCTCTGGCTCGAAGTGTTAGTGGCCACATCTGTAGGGTGATTTGGCATCTGTCTTTTCAAGTGGACTTTCCTAAGTTGTTTGGCATGCGGTTGCTAGGCTGTGTTTACAACAGATGCCGAGGTGCAGACAAAACATTTATCCCAACACTATTTTACAGCCCAAGGGATAAAGCAAATATCAATAGGCCTACAGGGCAGAAATAGGCTATAGACGTGCTGAATCTGACCTATGCAAAGAGCAACACTTTTTATGGCCTGTTATTGAAGAGTAATTGTCCACGTGTCCTATTCATTATTCCAAGAGTATTTAGATGTACTGAAAACATAATAGTATGTAATCGGAAAATAGGCTACTGGAGAGCCATGTCCATAGAAGCCTTAAAGGATTAGTTAGTTCAGTCAAAAATGAAAATTAGCCCATGATTTACTCACCCTGAAGCCATCCTAGGTGTAAATGACATTCTTCTTTCAGACAAATACAAAGTTGAGGGCAGGCACAAGAACGCGGTTGCCCTGTGCTGTTTCTTTGATCCGCGAGAGGCGTCAATTGCCGCCATTACGTTGTGCGTCAAGTTCAAGGTTTGCTCTTTTGGCGTAAATCAATGCGTACAGCCGTCTGCCGGAGGCTATTTTAGTTGATAACGTTTTAAATATGGATTTTTTTTTTTTACACAAATGCATCGCTTTGCTTCAGAACCCCCGGAGACGCGTGGAGCATTTTAATCATGAATAGATGCGCTTTGATGGATTAAGACATGCAGCCAATTCACTCCCATTATCACGCTTGGAAGAGCCAGCACATTTTTTTTTAATATAACTCCGATTGTATTCGTCTGAAAGAAGAATGTCATATAGAATGGCTTCAGGGTGAGTAAATTATGGGCTAATTTTCATTTTTGGGTTAACTATCCCTTTAAGTGTACCCTCAAATCAGTCCCACACAGATTCTTGTTATTATACTGGCCCCTTGTGGTGACTTGATGTATTGCATTGATCAGGAGACATGCATGTTCACAGCAACACTATAAAAAACATTAGGAATGTTGAAGTCAAGCTCAAGGTCAAGCTTTTATTAAGATCCCTTATGGGCAATTTGGATGCAGCACAAATAGACACAAACTGACACATACAGTACATCTTAAAAAGTAACAATAACAAATTACAAAATACAAAAAGTACATAAATTATATAGATATAAAAACCTAAGAAATTCCTTTAAGACTATTTAACAATCGGATTACACAGGGAACAAAAGAGTATTTGTATCGGTTATTTTTCATCTTTGGCAATCTATACGGGCGACCTGAAGGCAGCATAGAAAACTCCGGGAATAGGAAGTGGTCACTATATAATCACAGAATGGACTAGACTCAAAACATTCCTGTTAAACAGAACTGTCAAGCTTCTTTGTTCTTTACCTATGATCTTCCCACTGTTTGGGACTCATTTATTTAGTGTTTCACACTAAGGTTTCCAAACCAGCAGCTAACAGAAAAGGACAGCACCGGCTCTATATAAGACTTATAGAACAATTCCATCAATGTCTTGTCCATATTAAATTATCTTAATCTTCTCAGACAATACAGGCGCTGCTGTCCCTTTTTACACAAAGCCTCTGTGTTCACATCAAAACGCAATCCTTTATCAGTAATTGTCCCCAGATATTTATAACTACTATCAACACTTTCCACCTTCTCGCTCTTAATAAATGTGGCTTGAGAAGAATGTGTTTGTGTTCTAAAGTCAATATTCATGTCTTTTGTCTTAGATACATTAAGCTGCAAACAGGCATCATCACACCATTTGACAAAGTTATCCACCACTGGACCATGACACATTTCATGACACAAGCTCACAACAAACCACATTATATCTGCCATTTAATCCACATCTAGGCCTAGGCTACCGAGCCGTTCGCATAGCCGGGTAGGCTACTCCATCGAATCCCCGCCTTCTGTAGTGAAAACAACATAAACATAAGGAAAATTCCAACGCATTCTCATCCCAAAGCGTAATATATTGACTCTTTTGCCAAAGCGTCTATATCCAACGCATATGGCACCCTTTAGCGTCAATATAACACGCTTCGGTTTTGGGTAGGTTTAGGTCTGGGGTAGTGTTAGGGTTAGACCACTAGGAGGCGCCATATATCTGCGTCTCATATGACGCTAAAGGGTGCCATGTGCGTTGGATATAGACGCTTTGGCAAAAGAGTCAGTATATTACGCCTTGGGATGAGAACGGGTTCAAAATTCACACAGACACAACATATTAGGCACTCAACTTCCTCGCGAGATGAATAACGTTACAGTGAATGAATCAACAGATTTCTTACATTAGCGCCCTCTCCACTCGACAGTGGCACACTGTTATACGTATCTGTTATAACTACTATGATAGTTATAAATATCTGTGGCACATGTCAGATCTCTCTTTGCTCCTGCCCGAGCTGTTTAAAAGACACGTCTGTCATTATCCAATCGTTTCATTTTTGAACAATCATTTTTGAATATTAAATGAGGAGCTTTTGATGTGTCCTAAATCCCTCGTCTTTATGATGTCACGCCCCGAATTCCGTGAAAAGGAATCTCTCTATATAACAGTGCAATATATTGTGCACTGTAACACTGTCTGTTACACAGACTGGGAGAAAAGGAGCCCAAGGTGCATGTTGAAAACACTTATCATGATAATGCAGTTTTTACTGATATAAGTTACTGCGCTTAGCCTATATCTTAGTAGTTTATAATTTGTCTTCTAACAATGTCCAACACTAGACAACTGTCAAACTTGTCAGGTTTTTCTGAAAGTCATGCACATTTTCTTTGGTGCAAATAGCAACATTAGTAGTGGTGCAATAGTCAACAGGCTTTATGCACAGCTTCACTACTTGCTGAACTTCAGCCAGCCCTTTGTTTCCTGTCTGTCATTATTGGACAAACTAATTACTCCAGGTGTGCCTGATTATTGTTACTGAGGCCAGGCACACCTGGATTAATTAGTTTGTCCAATAATGACTGACAGGAAACAAAGGGCTTGCTGAAGTTCAGGAAGTAGTGAAGCTGTGACATAAAGCCAATTTAGGGAGTAAAGAAGAGAACACAGCACAGAACAGTACTGATGGACTGTCTGGTAGGTCTTCACAATGTTAAACTAGAGATGGCGTTTAGTTATCAGACAAATGGCTCAAATTCAGGCAGAGAGACTGTACATACTTAGACAATGGGCTTGTCACAGGTAAACAGGCAGAGAGAGGTCTACTCTATGTGGGATTGGAACATGAATCATTATTAGGCTACATATTTGGGTCTTTAGCGACCCAGCGCCCCAAGGCGTAAAATTAATATATCTATCACGGATGGATCTCTACCTGTTGCGATAATATACAGTACAACTCTCCTGACATTAGAGTAATAATTACAGAAGAATAAAAATAAAGCATATTTTGTAGCTTGTAAGGGTTCAGTTTGATGTTTTATACCATCATCACTGTCCTCGTCAGCTCATTTCCCAGTACATTCAGCATCGGCTCATATTCGCCATCTCAAACATATTCTCAAAACTATCATTTTAAACATCTTCAAAATCAATATTTTGTTCACTGACAGCTTCTTCACCAGATCCACCATCCAGTGACAGTGACACTAATATTTGATTGCGTTCAGTACTTGCTCTGCTGTAAATCTCTGAGCCATTTCAAGTTTTGCTGATGATACTTCCTATTCTTTTATTTTCTGCCTGCGGTGCCTAAGAGTGAAACGCCACTTCATCATTGTGTATCAGACATTGACACCTTGTGAAATAAATGTGAATTGCACTTATTCAGTCATCAAAGATTCAATAATTGTTGTGCAGAAAAAATACTTTACTTTACACTGTTACACACCTCGGGTCGTTCGAGACCCATACAATTTTTACAAAAAATGATTGGGAAAACAGGCAGTCTTTTATAAAAAATAAAAAATATCGTGTTATATTTATATATAATGAATTGGTTGAGATATATTAAGGTTGATGTCTAACTTTACAAATGAATGAGGAGGAGAGTAGTGAATGACGTCCCGGCCACTAAAGCCCCGAGGTATGCGTTTAAGGGTTCATCTGTTTTCATTGTTTAAAATCCACATTAAAATATCAGTTGGGCAGTCATTTTTATAGTTTGTTTTGTCCCTGCAGGCCCTCGCAGCTATCTGAGCTCCACAATGACTGAGCGTTTTGACTGCTACTACTGCAGAGACAACCTGCAGGGAAAGAAGTACGCCAACAAAGATGACAAGAACGTGTGTGTGCGCTGCTTCGACAAGCTCTGCGCCAACACTTGCGCTGAGTGTCGCAAACCTATAGGCGCTGATGCAAAGGTGGGGGTAAAATAAAGTCATTTAAAGTGCATTTTACATTGTGCAGTGCTCACAGTGCTCTCTTATCCAGGAGCTGAACCATAAGAACCGCCACTGGCACGAGGGCTGCTTCCGCTGTGCCAAGTGCTACAAGCCGCTGGCAAACGAGCCCTTTGCTGCCAAGGACGATGGCAAGATCATGTGTGGGAAGTGTGGCGACCGTGATGGATCGCCTCGCTGCCAGGGCTGCTACAAAGTGATTGCGTCGGGTGTGTGTGTACAGTTGTCACAGCACATAACACCCTTTGTCGACACAAAATATCTCGGCCACACGTGTTAATTGTAAATGATAGCCAAGTTTTTGTGTTGCACTTTTAGGATCTAAGAATGTGGAGTACAAGCATAAAGTCTGGCATGAAGAGTGTTTCACCTGCTATGAGTGCAAGCAGCCCATCAGCAGCCAGAGCTTCCTGACCAAGGGTGATGATATGTACTGCACTTCCTGCCATGAGAAGAAGTTCGCCAAGCACTGTGTCCGGTGCAAAGAGGTCAGTTAGGATTGTACACTTTAAAAAAAAAAAATCTGATCAATGAGTTATGACAACATGTTTTTAAATTGCTTTAACTCTTTTTAATGTTGTTCAATATTCAACTCGTTTTTTTATGTCAGTTTAATGTAATTTAAGTAAAAATTATTTGAACATCCAAATTGATTGTAGGCTACTTAAAAATTTAAGGCAGCAACTTTAGTGTCGAAAAGCTTCATAGATGGTACAGAAACATGATCGAACTCTATGTGTGCGGTTATTAAAGTGCTGTACAAAGTCCAGGCATAATGTACAGCTAAACAGTCATTATTAAAAAAATAATCATCATATGTGTGCTTATCAAACAAATGAATGAACACACTTAAGTTTGAGTCAGTAAGATTATGCTCACCAAGGCTACATTTATTTAATCAAAACATACAGTAAAACCATGCTATTGTGAAATAGTATTACAATATTAAATAAGTTTTCTATTTAATATATTTTCAAATTTATTCCTGTGTTTGCAAAACTATATTTTCAGCATCCATTTCTCCAGTCTTCAGTGTCACACGGTCTTTCAGAAATCATTCAGGATTCTTTGATGAATAAAACAGCATTTATTTGAAATAGCAACTTTTTTATCATTATAAATTACTTTATTGTTACTTTTTATCAATTTAATGCATCCTTTCTTAATATAAGTATTAATTTTTTTTTTTTAAACAAAAAACTTCTTAAACTTTTGAAAGCTAAATAAAGTCGGTGCAAAATGAATTGTTTTAGAAGAAATTGGTTGAATGCTTCATTAACTCACTCATAAAGACAGTCACTTGTCGCCACCTGATGTAATGATGCAACTGTAATCACTGAAAAATCTCACACACTAAGGGCCTGTCTCAAATGACATGCTTCAAATAACAATATGTGAAATAACAGTTCTCCTATCAGGCATGTTCTGAATCCTCTGTTCTTCTGTCTGAACTCTTATTAATCAGGCCATTACCAGTGGTGGGATCACCTATCAGGACCAGCCTTGGCACTCGGAGTGCTTTGTGTGTCACACGTGCAAGAAGCCACTGGCTGGAGCTCGTTTCACGCCCCATGAAGATCAGTTCTACTGTGTGGACTGCTATAAGACTGATGTGGCCAAAAAGTGCTCTGGATGCCAGAATCCTATTACAGGTATAAATGTGCAAATACACACGCATCTGTCCCAATATTAAATTATTGTTTCCCCCCACAATTGCAGTAAATGTACACAATATATTAATACAGAAGAATTGAAAGCACCACCAATAATTGCAATTTTAATGGAAAAAGGTCCATATTTACACATGTTGTCTTTCTGCATCCCAGGGTTTGGCAGAGGGACCAATGTGGTGAACTACGAGAACAAATCCTGGCATGAATATTGCTTTAACTGCAAGAAATGCTCACTCTCCATGGCCCACAAGCGTTTTGTCATCAACGGAGAGGACATCTACTGCTCTGACTGTGCCAAAAAGCTGTGAGGGCTGATAGGATGTGATGAGGCTGATTAACAAAAGCAATTAGTATTGATGAAATAGATGTCAAACTAGCAAAGCTTTGAGTGCTCAACTAAAGAGAAACCAGTGATGGTGTTTGTGCTGTTAAATCACTGGAAGTTTGATATCATTTTTATAAAGCTCTTGGAACAAATAGTGAGTGCTATGTGAAGGGCTTTTATTATGCAAAATATGTAACTGCAATCATAAATGTAATCGCTGGATATGCAAACCTAACAATGCATTTTAATAAGTTTCAGTTATTGCAAAGCTATGGTAAAACAGTGCGATGTCACAATAGGAATACAACATACGTACATTGCTGTAAGATTTAATGTGTTGAAATAATTCAGTAAATTCATTTTGCTTTGTGGAAAAAATGTTTTATTAACAACTGTAAGGATGAAAAAAAATCTAACAAAAAAAACAAAAACAAAAAACTGTAATGAACATTACATTTGAGATGTATTGAGCATGAAACAATAAATGACTCCAAAGAACATTTTATTTTATCTTCCAAAACTTTATTTTAACAATTTATACTTTTTCCAGTACACTTTAGATATATTTACAAATATAATTTGTAGTCAGGGCTATTTCAAGACAAGAAACTGCTCTAATAAAAGCAGATCCTATTCATGACCCTGGTCGAGTAGAATGATTGTCATGGCCGAGGTAAGCTCACGTGACGCGTTAAGATATTAATATATGAAAATAAAATACAGCCCATTCTGCATCTAAGGCACCATCCTATTCTACCCCTGTATTGAGTACAATTGACATTTAAAGAACAGTTTCAGTTCTGATGTATACAGCACAAAGGGCTCGAAAGGTCCTGTTAGTGGAAACAACATCTGCATTGGAGTGAACTCGTCTGAAAGTGGCTGTGCTAGCATATTACAAAAGCAAATGGAACTAACACGTACACGCATGCCTCAATGATCGGGTCTTCAGCAGATACACCACAACTTGAAGCAATTTTGGAAATGTAAAGTTTTAAGAGTACATATTAAAGGCCGAACCAAGGGGTCACAATGATATCAAACCCATTTCTGAATTGCACTGAACAAGTCTCATGCTAAGCGTGTGTCACATAACCTCTGCAAACACTTTTCCACTGAAGTCTAAGAGCCTGAGTCAAAAAGCAATCTTATACAACAAAAGATTAAAAACAACAATGTGGATGCATATAAAACAACAGAAGAAACATTAAACACACATTGAGGGACTACAGTATTCATAAACACAGATGGAATGATACAAATAAGGAAATGTACTTATGGATTGACCAGCTGTGGCCATTGAAGGGTAAAAATAGACTGAATAATATTTGAAAGGAAACTCCTCAACAATTTACACAACTACAGTACACAGCCAACTGAACTCTTCAAGCATATAGAGACCAATCATTCATTAGAACCGTCTGGACATTTAAATCAACAGTCAAAAGCTCAATGGTCGAATGCCAAATCCTTGTTATAAAATACAGGTAAAGTCTAATGCATTCTTCACTTAAACTTCCCTGAATCCTCCAGCTGCAAATGTAAATCACAAGAGGCGACATGCTCTGCAAACATCCGTTCAACCGCACAGCATCCTCGTAACTAAAAAGCCCTCTTGACTTTGCTTGCGCCCTCAGTCCACATTCCTTTTCCCTACTCGCGTCCCTTAACACACACTTTGTAACTTGCTGTGGCCCGTGAGTGTGGAACAGCATTTCATCTTTTAGTATAGAGCTGTACCACACTCTACAGTACACCGACCTGCTGCCTAGTTCTTATTCACAACCACAAGTATGGCTAGACAGCCTAATACTGATTTACATAATACTTAGAAGAGTTTTAAATATATATTTATGCATTTTCAAAGAGAGAACCAAATTTAGTGTGGTTATTTAATCCATGAATGGATGGTGAGAAGTAAACGAACAGTAACTGTATACAAAAGGAAACATCAGGACTTGATAGCACAGTCCAACCCTGAGGGGACTTTGGGAATTTGAAAACAATAAATCATTCAAGTTTAGTTACTGAAACATGTTTCTTCAAACTCCAGGGAACAGACACCAGAAACATGCAAAAAGTGTGCAAGTTAGAGTTACAGTAATTCTGTTATATTATGCAATATCGTAGCGCATAGATTCAAGCAGACATCCAGAGTTATTGAGGGTGCACTTCAATTAGATATTTGATAACTAGTCATACTTATTTACATGTACAGGTTTATTTACTACAAAACAGGAACGTACAACATAAAAACCTCATTAAACAAAAGCCACAAGTGTTATGCCAGTCCGCATTGAGCTCCATCATCCTTCAATCTCAGAGCTCAAGGCAGTACGAATATGTTTGCACTCAATTTGAATTATAAACAGTCTGGTAAACGTTTTTAGGGAAGGATTTGATATCAACGAGTGTTACACAGTAGGAACGCTTCTCAGAGGGAGCTCGAGTTCTTGCACAGGGAATATAGTGTTAAACACTATACAGTTGTGATGTTTATTCCTTTGGAGTGGAGAAACAACAAATATCCTGAGGTCACATTAAAAGCACTCGAGAGTTGCTGCACCATCACCCCGTCTTGGGTCACATTCCTGAGCTCCGCTCACAGTTCAGACACAGGGTTTTAATTAGTACGGATTGGAAACTAGACTGGATTGGAACCACCATGTCAGATGAAGATATGTGAGAGGTTTCCTTTCTCAAAACGCTCTGCACTAACTCCATAACTAATCAGATCCTTCTACAAAACGCTTAAGTCGAAATTATAATGAATATGTATGTGCCACGTAAACACCTGAACTGGAATTTAGCAAAAAAAAAAAGTGCACGTGGTAACCGTCATGAGACAGCAGCCGTTTAAATGTGGAGAAGCCACATGAATAAATAAAGTTGTCTCCACGTTTAAAAGACCAAAAAAAAGAAAAAGAAACCCAAAAACATTTGTTATGAAAAATAAATCCTGATGACAATATTATAAAGGTGAAGAGCTGCTAAACAAATAGGAATTTATCACTTTCCCTGAAGCATGTCTTCAGCTCATTTCTTCCAACTTGTGTTTATTTTCTCTTGCTTTATCCATCTATTATCTGCAGAGGCTGTGCGGCACTGTGCGCTTTCTGTGCGGCGAGTCTGAGCGCTGACACTCTGAGGCTCAGCTGGACGTGACTCGTGGAGTGCAATAATCAGCAGGCCTTAAACAGACCTGCGCATTCACATCTCTGTGAGAACAAGAGAAACAAGGTCAATTCTGTGAGGTCAAATTGATATAAACTAATACAATCTGAATCAGACGTAATAGAGACAAAAGCTCTTACCGGACAGGGTTTCAATAGACTGGGCTGGATGAACTGAGCTGGTTTTCTCTTCAAAGGCCACTCTAGGCCCCTCAGGGCCCCCATCGTCCATCAGGGGTTTGCTCTTCGCATGAACACCCAGATCGATCAGCTCCTCAAAGGTCCAGGGTCCTCCTTTACCATTCAACCCAGGGACCAGGCTCACTTTAGAGTCCTCGTTCACAAACTCAGAGCCCTCCATCAGACAGGACTTGGGAGGGGGGCTGCTGGAGATTAAAGCATAAATATAAAAGTTAAAGTTGTTTTATGCACCACTAACCCAGATAAAACTAGAGTAAAGAGGTTTTTTTTTTTTACCTGTCCACTGAGGGATCTTCTGTGCTTGGTCCATTGCTGTTCTCCTTATTATCCACATCTGTTTGTCTGTTCATACTAACATCTGGCTCCTCCACAGGCAAGTAATGCTCCAGAGAGTCTGACGGCTCTGTCTCATTGGCACTCTGCTCTGACTCAACAGCCTGATTCTCTGAAATGTAATGAGGCAGATGAGCTATTCCATCCTACATTAGAGCTACACAATATATCGATCGTGAGTGTAATAAGGCCTAGTGAGATTATCAAAAAGCGAATGCTGTGATTAAATTAAACACATGCATTGCGTGTTTCAGAGTGAAGCGTATTTACAAGCATTCAGCTCATCATTTTGTTTGCAATAAATGCTGTTTCATGAACTTCATCTCTTCGTGCTGAGAGGTTGGGTCTATTATAATGTGCATTTGGGAACGCATAATTCGCCACCCCTTTCACCAAATCTGTAATGAGAAGTGTTCATAAATGTGTTGCAAACAAACAGTTTTTTTTTTTAACAATAGAGATTGCAGAAAAACCAAATAAAGCAATTGTCCTATATAATGCAGCTCTATCCTCCAAATTGTGATCGATTAACCTGGCCAAAATTGAGAGATTTTCTTTTGGATTTTTAACACTTGGCTGCCTTGTTGAAATATTGTGTAAAATAAGTGTTCAATTTATTTTCAGCAATTCGCCTGTCACTTCTCACTTGTTCGTTTGTGATCATTCATCCGCTACAAACAAACTCAGTTGTTGCCAACAAAGCAATATTCTGCCAGTTCTGGCATAAAGATACTGACCCTTATCTTCACAGTTTATTTGGTCCTCAGCCTCCTCTCCATTTTCATCAGGAATGTCTCTCTCATCATCATTACTCTGAGAGAACACACACACAACATAAGTGATTTTTTGGGAATGGAAATGATGCACAACAGACAGAGAAATCATGCCTCAACACTATATAATAATGAGCCGTGTGCTATACAATAAAAGCGGTTAAACTTGCCTTATAATCCATTTGGTCTGTTTTTCTGGTTCTCTTCATAATTTCTTCAATTCTCTGCAGATTGAGACAAAATATTCAAGCAACTTGTATGATTCTTTAATCTACAGCTGCTACCATAAATGCAAACTGTGTAAATGTCAGAGTCATGTGATAGTGTCCACCTTCTTTCTCTCCATGCGCTCCTGTTGGTTCTTTTGCATAACGAGTGCTCTCTCTATACGCTGCTTTTCTGCCTCCTCTAGGGCCTTTGCTTCAGCCTCCTCACGCTGCCATTGGATGAGCAAGAAGTCAATTATTCAAACTGAAAAGTCAACATCTCTATCATGGATTCTATGCAATGGGAGAGTCAACTAACCTCTTTCTGTTCCTCAGCCTGTCTTTGCTGCTCCTCTAGCTCTGTCTGCTGTCTCTCCTCCTCTGCTATACGAGCCTGCTCCTCCTCTTCTCGCTTCCTCTCCTCCGCAAGCCTCTTCTCCTCCTCTGCGCGCCTCAAGCGCTCCTCCTCTGCCAGACGCTTCTCCTCCTCTTTCCTCAGCCTGTTGAGACACGATACCTCAGGGCCTTTGGCACTTCAAAGGTAAATAGTTTTAACAGATGCAGGGTTCGCTTCAGCTTAATGACTGCATAACAAACCTGCTCTTACAAACAAGAAAAACAAGAATATGACTACAAACATATGTCAGTGTGTTTGTTCTGCTTTTTCGGATTAAATGGGGGTTAAAGATAATAATATTATATGATTAGGCCAGTATATTTGGAAGCCGTTAAAGCAGGCTCCTGATACTACAACACACCACTGAAGCTAATCAAATAAACTCACCGCTCCTCTTCTTCTTTCTGTATGCGGAGTAGCTCTTCTTTCTCCTTCTGTTCGCGTGCCAGACGACGGTTCTCCGCCAGGATCTTGGAAGCCTCAGCGGCTGAGTTGGTTCCTGCGTTGGCTTTGGAATTGGATTCTGAAAACACACACATATATTATGCATATTAACATCCAAAATGCAACATTACATCAGCTGTTACAGTAATACACAATAAAATGAACTGAAAGAGAGAGAGGTAAAGTGCCTCTTAAAGACATTAGATTAGTGATATGTTTCCAGCAGAGGGCACTGTGACTCAAGGATCAACCAGCTCAGCACTGTATACAACCTCAGTAATTCCAGCAGTACTTGACCTTGATAGTACGTATCTAAGAAGACTATCAACCAAGCTGTGCTGGTTTGCTGCTGTAATAACTCAAAGGCTTTGTTTTAGCCAGACATTTGGCAAGACAGGAAGTGGTTAAACTGAAGCTTTTTCAAAGCTATTGAACAGTAGATCATGAAATAAATCTCCTTTAAAGTCATTACTACAACACTTGTATTGAAATATGTATTGAAAGGAACATTAATTACAGAGCTTGAAAAGCAGTACTGTACCGAAATCCATCACACTCCATATTCGACAATTTTTTTTTTTTACAATTAATAATTCACTCTAAATGCTTCAATCAAACTTTGTTTAGCAGATATTTTAGCCTTACATGATGTTACATATTACACATTGTTGATAAACTTTACACGTTTTAAATTTATCATCAAAGTTTGAAAATCTCCCATTGATTCTAAAAGAAATGTCGATTAAATCCCACAAATTTTAAAATTTAAAATCTAACTGCCAGAGAAGGCATTTAAATAGTGCAACTATTTCGATCGAGTTCTGAAAGTAAAAATCCCATTCATTTTCTCCATATCCATAGAGGAATAGATTTTTAACAATAACTTAAGCATTTAAAGACAGACGTACTGTGAGCTACATGGTTGTTAATCAATGGTACATGCTTTAATTAAATCGATCAGTCCTCATTATTTCAGCTTCTTAAAAAAAAAAAAAAAAAAAAAAAAAAACGGTTAACAGCAAAATTCAAGAAAGAAATGGCATTAACCATGATTTTGCAAAGACATATCCACCAATCAGAGAATTGAAACAAGAAAGTTGTGCTGAAAGAACTCTGTAGCGCCCGCCCACAACCAAGTTTTTAGATTTAATTTAACATTTTAATGAAATTTCCAGACATGGAAATCGCAATTGAAAAATTCCCCTTACATTTTCATCTCTGTTTCTCTATACTTGGGGTTTTGAGTTCACTCACCCTCTTTGGTCTTGGGTGTTGGTGTGGGTGTGGTGCTGGTTTCTGGAGACTGTGGGGCGACAGGCATAATGGGAGACATATCTTTTGGCTTGGAATCCCTCCTGCGAAGGGTGGGCGGGCCGGTGGGGGTTAGAGCAGGTTTCTGGATAGGTGGAGGTTTGGATGCGGCAGAGGGTTGAGGGGATGGAGGACGCTGTTTCAAGCCACTGGGGGAAGGAGGGCGGAAGCGTGGACTCTGCCTGAATGAGACAAATTAAAAGAGAAATAAAAAAATAGCGCAGCAGACTGAAAAGGTCTGAAATCAAACTATCAGTTTAGAGTGAAACCAATGCAGGCTAAAACTGATCTCAGGGGTCTTACTTGGCTGCTCCAGGTGAGGGCGCTCTTGAGGTGGTGTTAGCAGCAGGAGCAGGAGACGGGGATCGGTGACGACTGGAAGGCGAGGCAGGGCGTTTTCCAACTGGTGACGTGAAACGCTTCTCCTTCTCACCTTTCTGCTTTTACAAATGCAAAAACAGGGCAAAATGAGCAAAACCCTAAAACTAATTTTGAAATTGAAATTTTGTGGTATGAGACTATTGGATTAAACAGAAGATCCCCACATCTGAAAGGCACTTTGCTCACTATATAGTGATCATCAATCACTGTTCAGCCTAAATCAAAGCATGGTGTATAATATATCACTCAATTGCAGCTAGGATTTTACTGCTATCATCAATCTGAACAAGACCGGAGTAAACATGTCCTTTCAATCTATTTCTAATCTTCTGTCCACGTGCTCAGGGTGTGAATGTGACAAATGCACTAAATGTGGGACAGGCTCATATATGTGAAGATGTCTTTTACTGGAAAACCTTCCACATGAACAACGTGAAACAGCTTGGAGTGAGTTCACCATGTTTCAAGCTCTGACTCTAGACAAACTCTCCAAATGATTATCAAGCAGACCAGATTTAGTGAGCTATAAGGCCAAGCCATTTGAGAAGCTACAGCACAGTATGACCATCAAAGGGAAACATGTCAGTTTCAATTTACATTTCTCCAGTGAATATGCCAATGCAAGCCCTCCTTTCTCTCTGGGACACAGCTCCTTAGCGTTCATTATATGCAGGGCAGCGCTACAAATTAACTGTGTCTGAATGAATCACTGATGTGAGCATTTCAAAACCTCTATATGAGGGATCAGACTGTCACGTGTAGTTCATATCTGATTGTAAGGTATCCACCAGTCTCGGGAGACCATGGATCACGTCGGAGGGTCACCGGTGCAGCGTAGTGTCAACTTCGGTTATAATGACCCAGCAGTTTGAAGACAACCCTGATGAGGCTGAGTAAGTTACTTAAATGTTTGACAAATTTTTAACATGCTACCTAAATAACTCATTGGTTAAATGGCAAAAACATTAGAAGGTTACTCTTTTGAGGCACATTTCAGACAGTGCTCGAACACCGAATTGATTCCTCTTTCGCGTTTCCTTGCCCTTGAACAGACACAGGCACACACAATTGTCAAAATACCCATCTAAATGGCCGTCTCGACAAGTATTCTCTTGTTTATGTCATGTGAACAGGATGTAAACGGATGTTTGTCAGTTTTTTCGGTCCGTGCAGTCGGTCTTAAAGTGACAGCACACACCTATTATATATATATATATATATATATATATATATATATATATATATATATATATACTCACTGTTGTCTGTGACAGCTTTAACAAAGATTAAACTATATGTCATTTATACAGTGAACAAATAGTGTTAATTTACATTTAGGCTTAATTATTAATTTCTGTACCTGAATACTACTGTTAGACTTTGTAATTTTGTAATTTAGTATTCATCTCTGCTGTTCTGACTGTTCCCTTGTTTTAAATAATGTGTGAACTTTATCAGTTAGACTAGTAGTTTTTGATGTACTAGCTATCAAAAAACTTTAAGTGACCTAGAAAAGTTCTTTAATTAATTTTGTGTGGTCTATATATCTGAAACATTAGTGAAAATGCATCAATTTAGTATTTTTCTCATTTAATAAAATTTTTCATTGCAAAATAGTACCGTTCAAAAGTTTGAGGACAGTAAGATTTTTTTTTAAATGAATGAATCCCTAAATTCCGTGAGGATGCATTAAATTGATCAAAAGTGTCAGCAAGACAGTAAAAAAAAAATTACATTTTAATAAATACTCAGAAAACGGTTCTTTTCTTTTAAATTGTAATAATCTTTCACAGTATCACTGTTTTTAATGTAATTTTTTTATTAAATAAATGCAGCCTCAGTGAGCATAAGAGACTTCTTTCAAAAACTTTTGAAAAAAAAGAAAAGAAAAAAAGAACAATATAATCCATTTCAAAGTAGAAATTTGAATCATCTGCTCACCTGTGTCATACTGGAGATGGCATCCGCAGACACAGAAGTAGGCGGGCCTTTCTTTCGGTCGCTGCTGCGACTGCGTAGGGCTCCGCGGGCCGCGGGCTGCATGGGGCTGGCAGATGCTGAACGAGGACACAGGTGAGACTCTGGTAAAGGACACAGTCAGTGGTGCACAGCCAGGAACAGCAGGGAAGGGACGTCACAAGCAGCCGAGTGGGTGAGCAAAGCAAAGGTAGAGGTAGGGACAGAAAGAGGGAGATATAAAGAGAAAGAGAGAAGGGGAGAGGGATGATAAAAGCACAAAACATTGGTGTATGTTAGATCAGTCATACTGGTTGATGGGGAACTGACAAGCACTGATGGCCTCAGGAAGACTGGTGGATTGGTGGGTGTGAGACAGAGAGAAACATGGCAGGGGACAGACAGCATCTTGGACAGACAACACACTGGTCACCAATACGCTAAAGCACACCTCCGCCTACACCAAGCAAGCACTTTAGGCTGCAGTTTTAGTCAGCTCAACAATATCGTAAATTGAACAACATTCACACACTCATTCTCCCCTTATAGCCACATATAGGACATCACACAGTATAACATCTAACATAATTCCAAATCTAATGGAATTATTTAAAACGCCTTTTCACTATCTACAACATTCACATACAACTGTTGAAATTCACCCCCCCTAGTGACAGTCCTAGGAGCACATCCCACAGTCTGTTCCTATTCCCATCCAAGTAAAAATCCTATTCATTTCTCCATAGAGAAATTGTCAATAACATATCTCTCAACACAGACTTATGATGAGCTTTGAGGTTGCCAAGCAATAGCATGTTTCTGCAGAAAAGAAGTGATTTTGAATATTTAAAAAAAGAGAGAAAAAAATAGTTTAATAGCTAAATTCTCAATGAACAACAGTACTCATGAATCCTAAACAGACAACCAGAGAGGTCACTGTTACTATGGAAATGTAAATTGTACCAAATACACTAGAGCATTATAGTTATAAATTACTGATAAAAAGTACCGGTAAATGGTTTCATATTAGACCATCCTTCTGGCACATGATTGCTTGTACCTTTGTTTTTTCAGTTTTCAAATACTTTCTTCCTTCAATTTCAAGTTTTTAATGTTGTGCATCATCTTTAAGCTGGTTGATTTAGTTAATGGCTTAGAATTAAAAAAAAAATCCCTAGAAAGAAAACAAATGGGAAAAATACTTTTGAAATCAAAGACATGAAAATGCGGTTGTCCCTTGTTGTGCTCTATAGAGATGGTAACTGATCAAGGGATGCCCAGTATCTGGAGGTGAAGTGAGGTGAGCAGTAAGGACTGACCTGGGTCTGCTGTGACACTAAGATTTCTGGGATAATCTCCACCCATTGTAATTAACTCTGACTGTTAGCATCATGGAAAGCCTATAAAGGTAATTGATCCATAAGCTGCTGATTCATAATCATCTCTTGGTCTATATTAAGAAACCAATAATGCAGTTCAGATACTATCAGACTCAGCAATGCTGATAGCATTTTGTCAACATCAAACCCTGTCAAACAAGTTACACATATGAACTTCAGCCTTTACAGATTGCTGGGAATTTAAAGTGAGTTTGGTAGCAATGGAAAACTAAAGATGATGTTTAGGGTGACGCTGCTGGTCTGCACCGTGTGTGGATCAGCTGGGGATTGAAGTAGCAACAGCAGGGCGCAGATTCACTCCACTCATTCCCTCTCACACACAGAACCGCTCGGCTAATCAGCTTACAAAAGATCCCTCAGCAATAGCCCCGGAACACCTTGCAAATGTCGACGTGTGCGTGTGTGTCTTTTAGAGATTGAGACAAGGGTAAAGACTAGTGATGCACCGAAATGAAAACTTTCAAGTGACTTCAGACATCGAATGCTTGAACTAATATATAATAGAGTATTTTGTACATCTGTATACATTATGGCATTACATTGACGCTGGCATTGTTGTGCAGTCACGCTTATCTGTCTGGATTTCTCTATGTGAATCACGCAAAGAAGGTGCACGTGCCTCGTCAACTGAAATGCTATCTTATTTCCGATAATATCATCAGATGGTATCTACATTCAATTCTCGTGCACACTGCTTTGGTTAACATAACAGTTTCTGTTACATGTTCCAGTACATTTATCCTTTCGACGGACATAAAACAATTAAATGGCATTTTGGTAAAAAAGTGCAATGATAAACCATTTCTGAGCATCTCTAGAAAAGACTGCTAATCCTGTAAATTTAACATTGCCAAATTTGTTTATGCGTGTGTAAAACTTGATGCATGTGATTCAAGCCACAATAAAAAACTGCAGCATGCCCAGTATAACACGCCAACCAAGCACCCCTGCAGAGCGTCTTATATCTACACACAAGTGGAAGGTTCTGGTACAAGCTGGGTCTCCCTTTCTCTCTAGTGTTACCTTGGGCATCGCCTCCTTCGGCAGACAGGGCCACGGCACTCTTGCTTCTAGCTAGTGAGGCCTGGGTGGGTGTGAGCAGCCGACTGAGGACACCGCTGTCCACGGGGGCGGCCAACGAGCGGCGAGCTATAGACACGGTGTGCCCAAACAGACACGGAAAACATAGCAGACAAAAGGGAAAAGAAAAACGAGGTTGAGGAATAAACACAAAGAAGGAAGGAGAGAGAAATAACACCAATGTGATTTAAAATGCAAGAATTATCACAAAAACCAAAGAGAAAAGTGATTGTGGTTCAAACGTAAACAGTGGATGGCTGATGCAATCAAGATGAGACTCTCAATGCTGGAGAGACAAAAAGAATATTAGTGGGATATGGGAAAGGTGATTGGGAGCAGGACCAGGGCTGTGGAAGTGGAGGTGAAAACAAAAAAGGGACATAAAGCCAGGACTAAAGAGTAACTTGAAGAGCTTTTTGAGATCCATCAGACGAGTCAAATGCTTGCAGTCAGGCTTTTTAAATTTGAGGTATACATCAAATTTAGTATTAAGAAAAGGTCAGCATTTGATTTCAGTCTGGTCTCAACTGCAGTTTTACAGAATGTAGGGAAAACAAATATTTAACTAATTAGATACAGTTTGTACAATGCAAAACTGTGGCAGAACATGCTAAAAGGCTCAAAAAGCTCTTGCTGTCATGAAATCTGTTTGTAACCCGAGTTACAAATTCAGTTGGGAAAAACAGAAATATGAAGGAGCAATATACAAAATAGACAATATGTGTATGTACAGTATGTTTGTTACAGACTGTAACAGATAATTGTCTATTATCTATTTTGTATATTGTGTAGTTTTATATTTCTATATATTTTTATTATCTGTGTCTTGTCACTGTCATTCTGTATGTGCGGTAGAAGCTTCTGTCACCAAGGCAAATTCCTTGTATGTGTTAACATACCTGGCAATAAAGCTCATTCTGATTTTAAAAACTTAGGCCTGGTTTCACAGACATGGCTTAGACTAAGCCAGGATTAGGCCTTACTCCAATTAGGACATTTAAGTGAAAACAAAAAACATTACAGGTGTGCATCTTGAGACAAAACAATGGGCCTGACTTATTTTAAGATATTGCTTTCAGTGCAAGTTGCTTTCAGTTAAAACAGCTCAAACATGTGTTTTAGTCTGGGACTATCTTATGCCTTGTTTGTGGCTTATGTCTCTTTTAAATTATCCATTAATTTCCTTTTCCCCATGGCACTGTATTGATTCACTCTAAGGTATGGAGAGAGGTTGAGGCTGTGAAGCTTATGATGATGTGGCTAAGTGAGCTCAGAAATGAGGAAGTGCTTTCAGAATAGAGAAAGCTGGTGTATGTCTACCTAAACAAGTATTCACTGATGGGCAAACTCTAAAATGGTCCATCAACACAATTCAGTAGGTCATTTAGTTTTCAAGAGTGACTATATAACCAGGAGTTTAAAGATGTCCTGCAAACATGATATCTAGAAATAAATACAGCACAAGATATAGCCCAGTCAACCCTCTGCAACAGACACACACACACACACACACACACACACTGAAAACAGACATGGCACCAGGGGGCAAACTCATTGGTTAATGTCATATGGGAAGAAAAACAATACAATGTTCACATGAACAAAAACACATTGTATTAACATACACAAAGAGCTCATTCCTGGTGAGTAGGTCAGTTAGCGAGATCTCCCTGAGAGAACGAAGCAACAAGGAAAGGGTAAGCTCAAGGCATCAGCAAGCACAAACCGATCTATGGACAAAAGAGTATCAACATTTGCGGATTGTTATGTTTCTGGATGCATGATGATTTGATGCACGAGTAGAAGGGCGAATCAAGCAAAGAACGAAGAGAGAGTGACACAGCACGTTTATAACCACAAACCAATCCTCTGGCTGCAGATCAAACAAGAGCAAGATGGCCCATAGAAGCGAAAAAGGTTTGCGCTCATTTATTAGTAAATGGCGAACAGGCACATGTGAAATGTCCCGGTTGGGACTTAAGCACCTGATTCATCTGCTGTGGATATCTCTGGTTTGGTGGCGGGCTGTGTTTTAGCCCCCACTCGAGAGAGGGAGGAGCTTCGCTTCTTCGGGATTGGGCCTACAGACAAGAGTGGACAGGGCAGCGTTAGAATCAATCAGGAAGCAGGGCCTCTTCTGTCTCAGCTTTCAAGTGCCATTTGCGGTGAATGAGGAAATGCGTATTTGATGAGGACAATGCAGCTAGAATCTGATTTATAATTGTGGTTCTATTTACAGTAGGTTTCAGTGGATTTAGAGAATAGTGACTGTAAATGTTTAAGAGGTGCATGCTTACGACTGTCTGTGCAAGCTCCTTGTTTATGTCTATTTTGCATAGAAACTAGATTTTCAGAATGAAAATGTGCAAACTGCTGAGCTAAAGTAAGCAAATAAAGGCTAACACCCTTTATTTCATTAATAAAATTATGTAGGAGATCCTGAGATTGTTCATGGTTCTCTGGGCTGTGTGCAGAAATATGTTAAAGGGATAGTTCACCCATCATATTATCATCATATTACTCACCGCTTCAAACCCAAATGACTTTCTTTCTTCTTTGTAAAACAAAAGAAGAAATTAAAATAAATTACAGATACTTTCATGGTGCTAATGTTCCTTTCTTGAAGCTTGAAAGCTCCAGCCCACATTCAAATAATTGAATGGGGCAAAAAAACTGGTAAATTCTTTCTTTTGTATTTCACAGAAGAAAATAATTAAGGTTGAGCACGACATGAGGGTGAGTAAAATAAAAAGACAATTTTAATTTCTGTCTAATCCTTTAAAAGAGGAACAGCACTGGTAGTTTGGCACCTGTCTTTTCCACCTGAGGCTGCTTATGAGCTTCTTTACAGGCCTGAGGACCATTGCTAGGCAACCGGTTCAAAGATGAACTTCTCCGCTTCGCACCTAAGGGACAAAAGAGAGCTCAGCTCCAGAATCGAGAACATGGGTTTCACTCAGGAGGGACTGAAGACAGACTTCAAAGATAAAACACACACATCTAAAATCAACACAAAAGTGATCTAAAACCTTAAACTTTTTTGGCACCACACTAAAATGTGCCTGCACAGAAGGAAATGAAGAGGTGACTCCAACACAAACAGTGTCTGTTGTGAAACCGCCTGAGTCATGACTGGCTGCTCCTGTTAGAGGAAAAGGAAACTGTGGGGAGAAACAGCATGTCTGCAAGAATCATAAGCTGCCGAGATGGCAAAAACACTTATGGCCCATTCAAACAAACACAAAGCTGTATTTGCATTTAAATAACATTATAAAATGAAAATCACCAAGTGAACAACAGGGAGAGGCACCTGTGTGAGACATGACTTGTCATTAAATCTGCTTAGTACGCATGACCAGCATTAACGAGTATGTACTCATGCTCATGTATCAAAAGGATAAGGAAAAGGCAGGAGAGGGCAGGGAGGACACTTACTTTTATCAGGAGAATTAATGAGGGTGGCAGAGGATGAGGAGAGACGCTTGCTGATGACTGAGTCAGTCTGTTTCAGGTTCGTAGTAGAGGAAGAGCGCTTATCTACAGGGGAGGGTAATTACGCACACAGACAGAAACAGACAGGGAGTGGAATTAGAGTTACAGGGGTTTGCACGTGCTAAGCTATTGTTAATTACTCTAATACAAGCTGGTTCATCTACATTTTAAGGATGGGGTAACACCTGGACAGACAAAATTAGAGTATGCTAATTTAAGAATAGCTATACCTGAAGTCATGTGGTGCCTTACATGTCTGTAACATGCACATACATAACATTTTAGAATATATAATTAATAATGGGATAAATTATAAGCATTGTGCAAAATTTCTAACAGCAGCGAACCTTAAAAGTCAGGCATAACACAATGTTAGTAAACATTCAAACAGTCATTACATCTGGATAAAAAGGGGGGAAATCAGATAAAACTTGAAGCGACATGCATCCCCAGAACCAAGGTAGGTGCTTTGGAGAGAACACTCTTTGTTACAATCCCTGGCAATTGAAGAAAATATTTTATTATAAAAAACTGAGTGAGTGAATGAAAAAACAGCAAGTACAGCCCCAGTCAGATTAGTGCACGTATGAGCAAAGAGGATGAGTGGGCACGTTTTTTTTGTGTCAAGTCACACCATGGGCAGGCAAACAGTATAAACCACCTTGTGACGTCTGATTCCTGGGTGGCTTGGAGGCTGGAGAAGCAGGGGAGATAACTATAGCAATCAGGGAGGAGCTGGAGCCACTGTCACTCTGTCCTGTGGGAGGGGCAGGGACAGACAGGTCGCTATTGGAAACGGACTCTCTCTCCATGGAGAGAGTGAGAGAAGTGGAAAAACGCAGCTGACAACATGAGATTTCCATCCCCAAGTAGTGTTGCGCAAAATCACAGATCAACAAACAAACATGACTTGTAAAAGGTGAAGTGTGTAATTTGACCAATGACATATGTGGGTTTGAGGCATTAATTTGCAAATTTGATGTAGCTAGTGATGCAAAATTTCCACACTTTACCTTTAACATCAATTCAGAGCAATAAAGATTGTCACAAGATGATTTTTCATAGATTTATAAGTCAATACCCACTTGGGCAGACTGTGGGACAATCAGTGAACAAAGGCTGTTGAATGTATTATCAGGTGCTTCTGATGTTTTGGTATTTAGGAAAAGCACTCGTACCATTTTTGTTGTCAGAGTCTGAAAGTCCACCCCAGGACCATCTCTTCTGTCTCTGTTCTACTCGCTGGCTGCGCTCCAGGGTACGTCTCATCACAGCCTCATAGTGTTCCTACACACACACACACACACACACACACACACACACACACACTTTGTTAGACAAATGGAGCCATGATACGTCCTCTGAGCTGCGCAGCAGTGGACCATGGCAAAGGTGTGGGTGTAAATGCTAAAACAAAGTCCATGATTCCAGGCTCTTTTGCATGTCAGGTACTGAATAGTGCGCACGGCTCCTGCTGTGTGACTGCAAGACTAACAAAATCACCTATTTCATTTCATCCATTTAAGAGTGTTAATGACACCATCACATCCACAAATAACAAGCAGGGCATTAAAATCATTGAAATAGCCAATATTAAGGGTGTCCTGTATAATTAGGCTGGTTTGGGTTCAGACTTGGCATTTAGCATGGCTTTAAAATATTACACTGTGTATAGGATTATACAGCCTTTAGGAAAAGCCTCTTTGGCATTTTAATATAGCAGTAGGAGGTTCATGTATACTACCATTCAAAAGTTTGGATTTTCCATGTTTTTGAAAGAAGTCTCTTATGCTCACTAAGCTAGCCTAGAAATCTAGACGCACCCTAGCGGCAGCGAAAATTATTTCGCAGCCAGTGTGGTCTAGCAACTCTCCATAGGCTTTTGAGCTGTAAAAACCAAAAACTGGTCAGGCCAATCACATCGTGTATAGAGTCGGCGGGCGGGCTTAACACAATGACGGCACAGTTCATGACGTTCCGCGTGATTTCCATTGGTGATTTTCCTGCTACTTGAAAACAATGAAGATGCAGCGGTCTTTCGAATCGGCTTTGGCCGCGACTCTGGAGGACTTGGAGTTAAGAGAACGTCACTTAAGTCATTCTTAAAAAAGGAAGATGTGTTCGGAGTTTTACCGACCGACGGCAAAAGTTTAATATATCAATTAGCTCCGCTGGTGGAAAAACGCATGGGACTCACTCATCCACAACCGCTCGTTGCTCTGGTTGGTTGTAGCGCTATCCTATTGCGTGCAGAGGGATTTTGAAAGGTAACCGTTTATCCCGCCCCTCGGATTGAGGTATGTCAATGGAGAGTTCCCAGACCTAACATCTTGATGTAGGTCTGGCATGCCAGGCTACACTAAGGCAGCATTCAATTGATAAAATACAGTTAAATAGTAATGTTGTTACAATTTAAAATACATTTCTATTTGAATATATTTTAAAATTACATTTTTTTCTGTGACGGCAAAGCTAAATTTTCAGCATCATTACTCCAGTTTTCAGAGTCACATGATCCTTCAGAATTCTTTAGTTATTTTAATTTCTTATGATTTATTGTGCATCTGTTGTGATTATTTTAATTCCTTTTCTATGTAAAGCACTTTGCATTACCATTGTGTAGGAAATGTGCTATATAAATAAACTTAGAAGGTCTTATGGGTTTGGAACGACATAAGGGGTGAGTAAATGATGACAGAATATTCATATTTGGGTGAACTATCCCTTAAAATGCATTAAAATGTAAATAGACATGAAACCACATAGCAAGTTTGGTTGCATGAACAACCCTCAAGCGTACGCGTCCCCGGATCATAAACAGCCTATCATACGCCTTGTCACTCGTAGCACTACAAGGCACTACATACGCTACAAGTAAACAACAGCCAATAATTTAACAAGTTGTATTGCTGTGGGGTTAGGTTGCACCATCGCCATGTGACATCAGAACACAAGCGAAAATTAGTGTCGCACCTGCCGGCAATGAGTATTATTAATAAAAAAAAGGACATGGATCAATCAAACAGCCTATCATACAATGCGACATCAGCCAGTCAGTGCATGTGGCTAAGAAGTCTGCATGTTCTGCGTGTCACTTTGTGAATGAGTGCAGCAGTTTCGTCTTCTACACAAACTCGAACAAGCATGGCGCTCACTGTGTTTTCAGTATCTGAGTCCCAATATATGAAGGCATGAACACATCTCCAGAGCTGCTTCTAAGAGTGAATTCACAAGCTTTTTACCTTTCATTTGAGAAAAACTACTGTCAAATACACGCTGAAAATGTTCACGACAAAACGTCAAAATAAAAGTCTGGTTTAACTTGAAGAAATTATGAAATATATTACTATTGTATACTAAAATGTAATTATTTAAGTATTGATTAGTAATATACCGGTAATTATTTTTTTAATATACAAAGATATTTTTCACCCATGTTTTAATGTATACAGTTCTGTTGTGCAGCATCTTATTTGATAATAAATAAAAATACGTTTTGTTGTAAATTAATTGTTATATTTTCACTTGATTACATTTTAAAAGATTGATTATATTGTTAAAGTTTTATTAATTAATTTAATTACACACCATTGTTGATGATTAAATCATAAAACTTTATGGAATTCAGAAAAAAACTAAATGGAAAACAGAATTTAGGGAAAAATAACGTGGATTTCAAGGGGCCCTAAATTAAAAAGTAGCTTACTCTGGTAAATAAATATTGTTACCGAATGATATGGGAAAAAATCATTTAACTGTTTAAGTTTACTTATGACATAAATGACTGTTTTTATGAAGATACTCACAAAGACGGGCATTTTGACACATAAGTGTGTGTATTTGACCGTTCAAGCCCAATAATGATCTCAGTTCAGTACTCACACGCTTTATGAGCAGCAGTTTCATGTGCGCGCGTCTCTCAGACATTACTTCTTTAGCTTCTATGGTTTAAAATCATTTGTTTTTAAACTGCAATGCTTACTGCAAGAGACGATAGTCCAAAATCTCTAATGGTTGACAAATGTCTACCAGTTTATCGTGTCTACCGGTATATCGCCCACCCCTACTGAATAAAATTATTCAATTCTTTCAAAAAACACAAAACATAGGTAACAAATAGACAATTTACTTTTTCTTCCTCTAATTTCTGTTTTCTTTTCTCCTCCACTGCAGCTCTCCTTTGTTCCTCCTTCCTGCGCTGCTCTTCAAACTTCTTTTGTCTCTCCTCCATCTGACGCTCCACCTGCAGCCGGGTCTTGCGCTCTCGCTCCAGGAGCTGAGTCTCACGGGCCGCTGAACGGGACAAACAGGGTGTGTTAACGCGATTTGTTAAAATGTAAGAGAGTTAATTATGTTTAACTATGTGCAGGGTTTGGCAATCTTGTTTTTTATTTTTAATCACTGTGGATCACCATGCAAAATAAATGTAGAATATACTGTGTTTTTCTTTAGATGCTTCCATCTCACCATGAATAAATAATGCAAATGACCACCTCACTGTTTGTAAACACAGTGTTTCGTGTTGTCTTTGTGTTATATGTGCCAATGGTGGCATGCACGTCTAAGCTTGCCAACACCCGTTGTGTGAAATATTTTGCTTTGTCACCATGTTGCTTTTCCTGCTCTTCTCTCCTCTCTTTGGCCACTCGAAGTTTGTCGTCTATCCTCAGAGCTGCCCCATCAATGACTGAAAAAACATAACAGAACACAACGTCACACAACTAGTGTATCAAGTGAAATCTGAACACTTCCTGGGCCATGAAAAGCTCTCGGCAGATTGCACTAGTATCCGATGCGCGGGTCTGGCATGAGGCTCAGGTTACAGATTCAGCTATGAGCTCACCACACCTGATATAGTATTGACACAGAGACATGGGCGTGTGTGAGGACATGCTACAGTGGTGTAATGGCCTTAAGTGTAGAGTCATGTGACAACACATTGAAGTCACAAAGCAAGAGTGCGAAAAAACTCAACAAAAAAAGCTCTTACAGGAATAAAGATTGCTTCAGTGGAAACCTATTGTGTTTATTTCCCCAAAATATCTTTTTTGCTACAAAACTTACGCATGCAAGAAAGACAGAAAAATAATATATACGCTATAAATACGCTATAAAAAGTGAATAAAAAATACTTTTTAATTTTACTAAGTAAATACTAAGTAATACTTAGACTTTCAGTGTCATCAGGACAAGTAATACTCTGGGTCTGCAGAAAACAAACAAACCCTTGTGGATCCCTGCAGTGACAGACAGAGATCTGAGATCATGTTTGTTACCTGGTTTGGTCTGGCTCTTCGTTGTGATGGCTGGAGCTGCTGGTGTTGGGCTGTTCCCTGCCTGGCTGCGCCGTTCCTCTGCTTGTGCCTGCGCAGCTGCAGCTGGAAATGCAATGAGACAAAATTAGGGATGCACGATATAGGATTTTGGCCGATATTCGATATGCCGATATTTTCAAACTAATTTTGCCCGATGCCGATACCGATATATTTGTATTTTTTTTTAAGTGCAAAAAAAGCTTATTAAAGCTTCTATTAATATTCTCAGTCAAGAGCAGTGAGTGATTTCCTCTGTGTTTTGTTGTTTTATTAACATTAACGGGATAGTTCTCCCAAAAATTTAAATTGTCATCATTTACTCTCTCAAGTTTCTTTCTTCTGTTGAAATTATAAAAGTTATTTGGAAGAATGTGGCTAACCAAACAGTTGCTGTACTTCAGTGACTTCCATAGTATATTTAAGCACAAGAAAGAAATGAATCCAGGTTTGAAACAACATTAGATAGACAGAATTGTTATTTCTGGGCAGTGTTGCCAGATTGGGCGGGTTCCCGCCCAATTGGGCGGTTTTGAATTTGATTGTGCGGGTAAAAAAGGGTTTGGGCGGGTGGTCAAAATTTGGGCTGGTTTAAGGGATCATTTCGGCGGTTTTCAAACATCTACATTTTAAAGTCTAATTGGTTAAAAAAACGAAACTAAAGTGCATGTAGTCCATAAAATCAGTCATCATGACATTACTGTACACACACGCTCATGCAGAGTCAGCTGGCGAGTGTTGACATCACCGACGAGCACGCACTTTTAGCCAATCAGCGATCCGCAGGCAGACGCGATTGAGCGCGAGAAGTTGTAGCTGTATATTAAAGTGATCGCTAAGGCAAAGTGACATAGCCTACTATACAAAAGAGTGTACAGTAGTGAGCAACTCTAAAAAACGCACACGTGGAAGGAGATCACTCTATGGTGAATATAACTCTGAGAGGAGAGCACAGTTGAATGACTTGAATTGAAATCAAAAATGGGACGATTCCTGTCCATGTCATATGTGCACACTAGCCTAACCAAACATCTGCAACTTTACACCATCAAGACTGCACTCTACTTGTCCCTGACAGCTGCTGAAAAAGGTTTGAATCAACGATGAATCCGTTTTGACTGCTAAATTCTGCGTTATGTTCTGCAATGTGTAGCCTACTTCCGAGGGTTAAAGTCATCGGTTCATTTCTTGATTGCCGTTTTGACAGTGTCCACCTGGACATTTTAGTCATATTGGCTAATTCTCCTTAATTATTGCCCTGTTTGATCTGTTTTGCTGGAAAATTTATTTATTTATTATTTTATTTTATCATCGTTATTTTGTTTTAAGGAGATACAAATTGTGCTTATCAACCTTAAATGACATGGTAATGAAATTATATCACATTATTTTGGCAGTAAAATTTTGGGCGGTTTTTTCTTGTAGTGGGCGGGTTTTGGTGAGCTTTTGGGCTGGAAATCACCGTCCCAATCAGGCAACACTGTTTCTGGGTGCAGTATCTCTTTAAAGACAAGCGGCAGAATATTATTACTGTCTCTTTAAGAACTGCACGCGAGTAACGCGACGCGTCTAATATACACGCATTTGACAAGCAGATTTTCTCTGTTTGCTTTCACTTTAGACATAACCAACTTTGTTTATGTAAACCTTGTGTGTATTTGACAGTATCAGCGCAATAAGACTCGAAAGATTAGTCCAGTATGCAGACTCTGTGACAGGCTTTTAGTTCCTGTGAGCGTCGGGTGTAACGCGCTCAGAAAAGCGGATGTTAGAACAGCGCATCAGCACGTGAATGACATGTTTACCTAGCAAGACTTTGACGCACATGCAAACAATGAACTTTTGTGAATTGCAGTGTCCCGTGAGTGTAACTCTACCTCTGCGTTTACATGTGATGTGAATGTACGTCGCGTTGTACAGTATGTTGAGATGAAGGCGCCAGAATTGAACTGATAGAATGCACGATACTATGATTTTTCTTCAAAAGCAGATCGTGGAGACATTTTAATCGTCCACGATCAAAAACCGTGAGACGCATGGCACACCCCTAGTTGGAAGTTTAAGTTGCTGGCGCTCATGCTTCGTTCGCGTCACGTGCGCATAGGAAACACGCCACCCTATCGGCAAGACTCATCGGCAGAAATATTCATATCGGCCGATGCCGATGATGGTCATTTTAAGCTTTTATCGGCCGATACCGATGTTGTCCCGATATCATCGTGCATCCCTAGACAAAATGCATTTTAAATCTACTAGGTAGCTGGGCTACACGGGCTGCATGATTTGGGGGATAAAAAAAAAATGTATTGAATGAAATGAAGGGAATTTTAGATTCTGTGAAAATTATTTTAAATTCCATCAGATGGCTTGAGATGTTATGTTATTGTACAATCAGGCATATTGTACAGTCAGGTATACAGTGTTTGAGTCAAAGTAACAGGAAATACTACTATCTCTGCTCAACACAAAACACCTTTTAAATGCTCTTCAGCAGTCTTGCAGCAGGCAGGAGAGGAGGAAGGATATGATAAGATAAGGGGCGGATAGGATAAATAGGATATGGAAAAATCATAAAGTCTGTGTGCCTTTGTAACAGTTCTCTCCCTTCACAGAGAGTGTCAGAGAGAGAGAGAAAAAGAGGGTGTTTGTTAAGCTGGCAGTGAAGGAGCATGTGATGTCTGTATGGTGAAAATCAAGATGCTACTGATAGACTGAGCCGAAGAAAGGGCCCCAATGCGCACATTTCACTGACTGAGAATAAGCCATCTCTTTAGTTCTAAATTCTGCTTAAGCCCACCGGTTTATGCTTATTAATGTGTTTTGATTTGTTGTTGATCATGATGTCTTGTCCGCTACATAAAAAGCAATTGATCAAGAGTTTTTTTTTACTATTCTGACAAACTTAAAAGTATCTGATTGGCCACTGCGTTCACGCTCAACAGATCTGTAATTGGCTACAAAGCTCAACACTGCAAAAACACGCAAATAGAAACCTTTGATGCTCTTCACAGAGCACTTACACAAACACTCACAGGAGCGTTTTAAAGCAGCAGGCTATCAGCGAATACCGGTATTGGTTTCATTTTAGGATTTATTACAAATATAATCACACCGTCATACGCATATAAAAGGGCAAAAACCTGTGGCAGCCTGGCAGGTCAAGCTTGGCCTAACTGTACATTCACACCGCCGCCGACTTGAGCTTCCAAAGCGGCTGGAAGTCATTCATTTTCAATGGAAGCTGGCTTTTCTCAGCTGCAAGGAGCGTCAAATCCATCGGCGTCGCATTTTGGGCGTTTTGAGCTTCAATCAGAAAGTTGAAAGAAGCTCAACTTTATGGTAATGAGCTGCGACGCGGTTCAGCGGCAAGCAGCGGCAAAACGCCAGCAACCAATCGGAATATAGACGTCCTTCGCGCTGGCTGATTCCGGCGAAACGTACAATGTAAACTTTAGTTCCTACCAAAACATTAGTTCCGAGAAAATGGAAGAGAAGCTAATAATCGCCGTTGCTGGGTTTCCTATCATTTATGACATAACGTTGTTTGCTTATAGGGACCGCATGAGCGCAACTTTTATTTAAAATATTTACGAACGCTCGTTTTAAAGCGGGAATGCAATCCATTTGCTCACGGTGACACCGATTTGACCGCAAATAATAATAATAGCTAACTATTCTTTTCCCCCCGACCAAAAGTGACCAAAACGGTTATAAAAAACTGTCATTATAAAAGGTTTCTTCAATGTATTGCTAGTTTTTTTCTGTTTATTACATTTTATGTTGTGACACTTCTATTCTCCCTGCAACGTCAGAGCGTTCAAAGCGTCCAAAGCGTCAACAACCTTCCCCGTACTTTTTGACAAGCGTCCTTGACAGGGCAGCCAGAGCTTCTTTGACGCTCAAGTCGGCGGCGGTGTGAACGTACAGTAATGAGCACTGCAGTATGGTGAATATTCAGGGGCGCCCCCCTAATATAATGGCAGGGGAATATTTAGATTATGGTTTCAGATTCAGATTTTTTCATTATTCTTTTCTCTGTAAAGTAAGGGTGCACACTACTGCTGAAAACACAAATCCTGTTTAGCAGTCAGATGTCCGAATGAACAAAGGCACAGATGCCTCAACACGACATATCTGCTGCTTTAGTGTGCACCATTTTGCACTGTGACATGTATATTTGCACCTGAACAGTGAATTGCGGCTTTGAAATCGAATGCATTTGGACTGCATTCAAATTCTCTGTAGTTGTCAGGAAAACACTATAACGCCTCAAATGCCTTTTTCCCACCCATTTATGACCACTCTGTGTATGAACGAACTGCCCGCGCCCCGCTTTCACCTCCGACACGGAGAACAGACAAGATGACAGTATGATCGGCAAAATGTTGGTGACATTCATTATTATGTTAACATAACGATGTATTGCGTCACCAAAAATGACTGTGGTCATGTACATATATTGTGCGATAAGTCGAAATATTGATTATTGTGACAGGCCTAATAGTTAGACAGATATCGTGATGTATCATTATAGGATTGTCTAGCAATATATTGATTATCGTAGAATTGCTCTATCGTGAAATTATCAGTATCGTGAGTCATGTATCGTGGATCGTATCGTGAAGTCAGGGCTCGACATAAGCAATGGCCCGATGGCCCGGGGCCAGTAAAAGTGTATGTCGGGCTAGTTGATTGGCCAGTCACTTGCCCGCGCGGGCCAGTAACTGGCCATCAGCAAAACAAACAGCAAACGTCATACACAGTGGCGCGAAGAGTGTTAATGTTTCTTCAGGTTATTTATAACGTGTTAAAATGTCAAAGAACTACGAGGCTAATACGAGAAAGAGTACCGAAACCCTGTATTAAACGGGACTGAATTTTGAAAGACCGCGCTGTATCGATAAGCTCGGACGTTATCGGTTCTGCTGTTGGTACTGGAGAAATACGCGTAGGCTATCATTTATTATTGCTATAAAGACGTTTTTCTTTTTTTTACCATCTCGCTGAGTCGCCAGCCATTTCTATAATAAAATTAAACCATTTGTCTGTGATGCATTTTTGCTATT